TTTCGAGTCTTGTCAATGAAGTTCATTTGCCGAGTCCAAGAGCCCACGTTTTGATATTTCAATGTTCTCATATAATCACTACTGGCATTCCCAAAGGCATACCTTTGATAGTCGACCAGTATCGACGTGAGGTACAAGTGTCTGGAAAGAACGCACTTGACTTCTACGCCGCGGCCGGCTTCAGCATGGTGAGTAGGTGATTCCTACAACCCAGTCGTCCTGGGTTTCAATCAAGCAACGATCAGAGGCTATGTATACCTTGGTACTTCTCAAGCTGCCACTGGCCGAGACTTGATGTCCTCAATGCAGTGTCCGAACAGGCTGCCAACAAGCCATCTCGTCATCACCAGGTACTAACCCGGGGGCGCCACCTCCCATCCCATCGAAGAGGGTTTCCCGACAGCTCGCTGGGGGTATTCGAGTTCGCTTCGAAAAGTTGATCCACCGTAGCCATGTGTGTAGGCTGGTTCTGGTCGAGAAGCGGCATTCTCTTCAAGTTTTCATTCGGCGTGATTGAGTATAAAATCAAAGTGGTTACTGATGCGCTTGTTAACAGGCCAGTGCTGAGGATGGAAGTCTTCATGGCCAGAACCCTGGTCCAGGAGCATACTTGCAACGGTAACTTGCTGGGCCGCCAAGATGGAGAGGATGGAGGGTATTCATGGCTAGGGTCCTGGTTCAGGGGCAGATTTATAATAGTAAAATGGCTCAAGACCCCTTATCTTCAGTGTTTAATACATGACGAATACTCACTTAGTAATAAGGATTGGATCAAAACAGCGTCGAGATTTAAATTGAACTTAGGACGCATGGCTGAAGATGAATTTCGGGTGGACAGTTTGATCAGAATATTCGTGAAGGCAGAGAGCTCAGCTCAGGAAAACTTATCGCATGGGAGAACATTGCCCATAAAGACCAAAGAACTCGATCCGTGGTTCTGGCTCTTATGTTCAATGGCCTATCTCCCATTCAGGATAAATACGAATCGACTCTGTCGGAGGTGATCGGTCTAACGATAATACCAGCGGCGGACGAACCAGAGACGGACAAAGCCCTCGATATGGCCTCGATTGGTGTTTTGATGATAACTTGCCGTGGTTCACTGTCACCTATAAGAAAGCTCGAAGCTAGGAACGACAAGGTTCATTGAGCTGCCGTGGTGAAACAGGAGCGCTCTGCCGAACATACCGAGGAACCTAACGACAATTGTACACATAATAAAGTTGGTGTAGAGTACTTGAAGGGCCTTGAGCAGGCCGCGATCTCGGCTTCGACCAGGACTTTTCCAACGGCTCGTTTCTTTGTAACGACGACGAAGTGAGATGGTACCATCCGAGCAAGTGAGAGGCTACAAGGGCCCAGAGGAGGTAGCAGGCACGGCGCTCGGGATACACGCAGGAACATCGAAGTCGCTGCTAGGAAGTTCAGGAACCGGCTGGTAAGTGGGTATTCAAACGTCTAGGTGCTGGGGTCGCTGGCTAAGGTAGTTTGTCAAGTTGTCTGCCTTTGCGGTAGGGTTCTCCACGAGCCGAGCGGTTCGCTCATTGATGAGCTCCTTCATCAATTGTTTGGTATAGTGGACCGTGAAGTGATGAAGTCGACTCTTCTGATTATGCCTCGTAAGCCAGGTCAGTTCACATAACTCGTTTTTATCACCGCCTGCCAATAGCTATCGTTCCCCGTACTATACAAGTACCGACCCGAATACTCCAGGCGAGGGGGAGACCACTGGGGATATGAGGTTAACCATAGAACGCCCGCCGTAATTCTGAGATGTGTAAATGACCACTTGACCTACAACCGAGAGGTTAGGGAAGCCAGAATATTCTCTCAGGTAGTGTAGCTTCTGGACTCACGATGGGCCTTGCGCCAAGTTAATTGATCAATTCGGGTGCCTTAAATAGGGGTACATTAGCAATGGACGATCAAGTGCCGCAGACGAAGGAAGGTACATAGCTAGCTCCTTCCCGTTATGGGGCGGGGGTAATCCAGAACCAAGCCGTCGTCATGAGGCTCTTCGTGATCTGAATGAAGCCGAGAGGTTACAAGACTTAGGACTCGGCCAATGATAAGCGACTCCTCTGAGCGCCCTGTCTGACAATATCAGAGAGACTACGGGGCAAATCACATCACGCAGTGAGTTTGACATCCTGAGTCTGAGACCGTAATGCTCTGCCTCAAGTCAACGGTGCCCATATTCGATTGACTATGCTTTCCGCTTCCACATCTCTGCTCGCGGACTCGGCAGTATATGACCCATCTGGCTCCTAGCTAATACATAGCACTGCTTCGTCAAGGATGGAAGGGGCTTTTCCTTGCACAAGTGAGGGCTATTCATACCCATGCTTTCATCGGGAACACTGACGTGGTTGTATGGTGGCCACTCCGCCTCCGTTGAATCTTGTATGTCTATCTCAGTTTGAATCGTCTGCGGGGAACAGATCAGAATACTTCTAGCAAGTTAAGCTTGTCCCAGATTGACATATGTTAAGAAGCAATCTCGGAATAGCCACAGTTCACACGTTGGAAACCTCAATCATCAGGGGCACACGAAAGGATTCGAAAACCAGCCCTATCAAAGAAGCGGTCTCGGTATAGACAACGTACAAAGAAAGCATCAAACCCTCATATTGTCTTCCCTGTCGGGAGTGAAGATAGGTCTGGCCAAGATTCCCGTTAAAGAGGCCCATCAAGGGGCTAAGCCAATGAAGCGATTCTCAAAACATGTATCCGAGATCCTCTCCATACCATTTAAGGGACCGCTGAGTTAGGAGTCAATTGTCTCCGACGAGCCAGTACCTACTCTCTTCAAACCCCAAGATCCGCACTGATCTCCTATACCAAGATTTATATTCTCTCTGGCTTAGCCTCGTCCCCGAAAGACTGGATGCTCATCAACCGTCGCGTTCATGCTCAGAATTGACAGCCTGGAAATAGTTGCGAGGAATAAGTCCAGAAAAAACCCCATCGAGTACATACCATCAAAAGTCTGTTCCGTTGGAGCTGCCGCGCGGCAAGACAGATCAGCGAGAAGAGTGCAAGTCTTTCGACGATGTGATCCCTCTTTCGTCACGCCATCATAAATCTAGTGCTTGAATATCTCTGTCATCCTTCCGCAGCATCTCATCTCTTGGACGACGATAATATCCTTGAGACGACATGACCACACAGAGCCCGCCTCGATGTCAGACTACATGTAATGACTTACAACCTAATCAACCCAGGCCAAAAGGGCATCACCACAAAAATCATCAGCCTCAACTCATTAACCTGCAGCTTATCTCACTTCCAGCTAGTTGCAAATTCCATCCTTACGTGATCGCATCAACATCATAGAAACGATCACATAAGACTAGAAGACTGAACGGGAGTACGTGTTGATATTCACAAAGTATGTATCTATATATACATAAATCGTCAAGCAACAACACAACGCGTAAACAAATTCGCTAGAAGAGCATCTGCTCTCCCATCTCCGACGCGGAAAGGGGGTCATTGAAAACCCATAATGCAAGCTCAAACAATACCACGCAGCTCCAGATATACGTATATCCCAAAACTCACATCAGCATACCATGAGCAACTCCCTATCAACATACCACAAGCATCACACCTCCCACAAGAGCCCACGAGAACGTCGATATCCCAAGCGGCCAGCGGCAATCCCACGAAGGGGGGGGGGGGCGCAAAGTAAACACACCCTCACCGACGCAACTCATCCTTTCTCATCATGCACGTAACGACTCACCGCCTTCCCTAAAAAGGGGTCATCACCAAGGCCTCCAAACTCTCCCATCGTCAAGCCAACATTGCTGCCCGAACGCAATCCTCGCCTACCTAAAACGCCAAAGGGTCACAAGAAAGCCTGTCAAGTCAGGCTCACGAGCTAGAACCTCTACGGCATGGGAAGAGCTGGTCGACAACACGGTCAAACAGCTGAGTTGGCGCAAAGCGGGGCTTTTTCACGATGCAGGTCTGGAATTGCAGGCCCGGATGCAGAGTCTTAGAGGAGGTTGGAGGGGCTAGGATTTTGAGATGAGTCGGTGAAGCAGAGAACCTATCGGTCAGTCGACTTTTCTCCCCTCACGCGCCCGTTCTACCCCACTACATTCACTTTTTTTTTGGTCAATGAAGGCCGTTGCGATTGGGCACCAGCGCCAGAAATCTGTGCATAGGCGAAGTTGTCCGGCCAGTCGTTTGGCCCTGCGTTAGTGCCGTATGATATGCAATGCCATGGGTCACGACATCCGACGGGCGTCTCTGAGAATCCCACCCAAAAACGGTCGAGGTTAGAATGGCAAAGTAGCGTTCGGGGGTGGGAGAATAGTCATCAAACCAGATATCTACGGACAGAAAGGAATATCGCTCGCGGTATTCTCTCCCTCTCGGCAGGCATTGTTGACGTCAACCGGGCAGTTAACGGCGGTATTCTGAAAAAAAAAGCGATACCAGCACCACACTTGTGGCTCGGCTGGCGAATGACATTTCCGCCGAGCGAATACATGGAGGAGGCTCCTCAAACGGGACGAGCAGGGCTTGATAAGCCAGGGTTGAGACGCGTCTGTAGTCAAAAAGTTTCTGTCTAAAGGAGATTCATCGAGCATGACGCGAGCAGTACACGGAGTGGGTTCGACAGCAGTTGCCTGGACTCCCACGACTCCTCAGAGCCAGACACGCCAGAGCAAGACGGCGCCGCAGAAAATGTTCTAGGTGGGCTCTAGAAGGGGACCACATCTCGCAGATCCTCTCCCATCAGATCAGTCTCTGACAAGGCGATTGTGGGACCCGAAATGCCACCGGATTGAGGAAAATAGGGCCGACAGACTGCCGTGGTTGCCGAGGCGTCCTACCGCCTGCGTTCCGGAGCAGAGACAGAGAGATAAGAGCCGGCGACGGTTCGGGCCCAGAATTCGGGGTCGAAAGCCCGGAAGCGTCCCGTGATGAAGAGCGGATGTTATCAGACTTAACGAGTCAGGAATGCCGCCAGTGAGGCAACTGTGATGACATGCTGGCCCACAGCTCTGATCACTCTCTTGCGGTGGTCCGCGGATGAGAATTCTTTTCTGGCGAGAATTATTTCTGTTGCCCCCGCGCCACTTGTTCTTGAATCATCCGCCCCAGGCGTGGCTGGTGATTGGGGCCAAGTCACCAAAGAAAGGCTCCAAAGGTTGGCAGGTTGGACCATGTCCACTCGATGTTAGTCAGCCAGTCGGCCAGTGACCAGTAACGGATTTTGATCAAGCAAAGGGCCGTGATCATGAAAACTCAGCCTCAAGGTAAAAAATAGCAACGTGGTGAAAGGGCGTGGAACGATTGCGGCGTCTCGCAGCCGGGAGACCGCGCTAGAATTAGATTGATGCTTGAAACCGGAGGCTTCTACTCTTTTCTTCAACAGGGACGGGTACACCGCAGAACAACTGGACTAGAGCCTCTACAACGGAAAATTGTTAAGCTGGCGTGGCTGGTTCGCTGCCTGCTGTATCCGTAGTCGAGGTAGGCATGAAGGCGGTGGACCGATTAGTTCGGAAAAGGCCCGATCGATTGAGCGAGGGAAAATGTTCCGAGAGACGCATCGATTGGCCCGTCAGCAGTGTGGTCCTGGACTGGAACCTGACCGAGAATAAGCTCTCGCCCGTCAAAGGGCTTACACCACCCCCAATCGTCTCAGAGCCTCAGTAGTCAAGCCCAACTGGCCAAGAGGCGCGGGTGACAGCTGACAGCGCCAGCAAACCATGTGGTTTCTGCAATCCAATCCAGATCCGGCGGCGTTGACGGGCGATGGGAGGGCTGATAATTCAGGCACAAGAGTGAAGGTTGGCCAACGTGGCAGTTGGGTGTCACCGATATTGGGACCTGCAGTCATCGTCTGCGGTCCGCCGCAGTGTGTGGGATGTAGGATTCTTTCGGGTTTTCTGGAACGAGACGCAAGGTGGTATCCGCAGGCCTGTTACTGTTGGGAAGATCCGTTGACGGACCATCACACACGGTAGAGATCGATGTAGGGCGTGTATTGGACGGCAGAGTTGCCGTTCCCGCTCCCGTTCCCGTTCCCGCTGCCGTCTGTTTCGTCGCAAGTCTCGAGCAAGCGATCCGGCTTCAAGTACAACACAACGTTAAGACCGCGAAATCTTAGTGTATTTGCAATCTGTGGGAGGTCATTTGCTGGCGTTTGTGAGTCAAAGTACGGAAGCTGAGGAGTAGAGACCGCAAGCAGAATAAGCCTTCGGGTTTCCCCTTGCTGCTTGCATCGACTGCGTGTCACCGTGGTTGCTATCAGTCTCCGCAACGTTGTTAATGTGTAGCTCTCGCAAGTCGCAACTGCATTGCCAACTCAGCAATCACAGGCTTCTGTGCCAGGAGCTGCAGTTTCTCGTCTCGGCCGCCGTTATCAGGGACTGGTCCGTCCGTTGCTTTCTCTCATCTCCAGTATAGGAGAAAGGAAAAGAGCATTGCCTGGGTACGGACTTTGCCATCTTGACCTTGGGCGAGCGATTTTTGACGAGCCTTGACCCCAGGCCTTTGAGTGAAACTGAGGGTGTCGCCCGGTGCTGCGTGCGTGGCTCCCGTTCCCTTTGTCACGGCCAGTCAAGGCCAGGTAGACGGAGAAGATGGCTCATAGTGTCGGCATGGTAATAGTGAGTTTCTGGATCCCTAAGAATTGTCTAGCCAGGGCCACGTTGGGATTAGCCCTGAAGGAGCTGGGGAGCTGGAGTCAGCACAGGGCGAGAGGGTCAATGTTTGTCCTCAAAGAGGTTGTAGGCGGGCAGTGCTTGTGGCCAAGATTCTCTCTGCAAGGTGCTTGTGTTTGACGGCAGAGGTGATGGAGAGATACGCGTCCTGGCAGTCCTTGGCCAGAATACGATGACGAGGAATGGCCAAGTTGTTTCCCGGTAAAGAGAGAGAGTTCACTCGTGAAGATAACAGTCAGACGGTGCTCTCAGAATCTGTCACTCTTTCTGTTTACTCTTGGAACTTGGAACATTAGGTACTGCGTAGTGCATACACCACTTTCAATGATGGACAGGCACGACCCTCCGCCCCTCACCCCCTCAGCGGGCGAGTCGAATAAGGCCGATCCAATAGGAAGCGATCCAATAATTGCAAACCAGAAAGACGGGTCGGCATCTTATCGCCCCGGGCGGACGTCTCGATGGAACAGCCAGGTACGGATGATACGTACCTCAATCATCCAGCACTTGAGGGTCGAGAGCGACGGTAGGAGCGTCAGGAACGGTTCCGCGTCCCTGGCACAATGGTCCGTTAGGCAGGGCAGACATCTCATAGGTCATGACCTCTGTATACGTACCTCCTACCTCACTCTGGCCTCGCCGTATGTATCTTTGTCGTCTCGATGGGTGTTGAGCTGCTGCCGGACAATGAAGCAGGTACAAACGTCCGAGCTGAACCGGACTGCGACCACTTGCTGCCAAACCGTTCAGGTAGACGCAGATCAGGGCAGCTCCCGTTCAGACGTTTCGAGCTAACAATGTCAGTCACCAATGGAAGGCCAAAAGATACGTACTGCGAGTAGGTACCTAGTTGACGGTGCATTGAGTGGCACGGGTATCAAGGGAAAGACACAAAGCAGACAAACGCTCGCCGGTCCCCTTTCACGTGTCAAAAAAGGGGGAGACAAGAAGAGAGGGGTGAGAGAGAGAGACAGAGAGAGCAGGGACAGCGTTGATGCGCCCGTTTCCAATCATTCTTTTGGCTTTTTGGTTCTTTGTATTCCGTACCTCAATCTGAAGCATGGCTCCGGCGCAACGTGGACATGGTCTGGGACGTTGAAAGGAGGGCAAAGAAGAGACTAGGAGTCAGTCGAATCATCAGTCAAACCTCGCGGCCCGAAGCCGTCCCTCTCCGATTGGAACCCAAACAACAGCTCGATCCAATGCTGCTCCCTGAGAAAGCTCCCCCTGCATCCTGTGCTGAGCTGGGTTTGGGACGACAGCACCAGCAACGTGTACTTGGGTGAATGGTATGATGTGGTGAGGTGTCCCGGGATATTGGTACCTGAGCGGTGCCCTCGACGACCGTCTTGTGCTCAGCGCGCCACGATATGGTAGCTATTGATTGTAGATGATGCGGTTCGGAGACATGGAGCTCAAGACCATGTGATCCAAGAGTCGTTATCTTTGGTTGAGTATGTGGTATTCGACCGAGAATTTCAGACAGCACTTTAGACAAATGTTGGCAAAATTAGTGAAAACGGATACATGTGGACAGCCCTACTCATGGGAGTGACTTGTACTCCGTACCGTTTGAGCGACTGCGATTCAAAAGATGAAACGAGCTTGAGATGTTTGGTAGGCAGGCAGGCAGGCAGGCAGGCGGCACCTTGCGTGTTCACCAATCCTGAGGCACACACTTCTGTCGTCTTTCCTCATCTCCCGTCCCTTCCACAGGCCGGTCTTAGTCGAGAGCTTAGAAGATACTTTCCGAGTTGCAATGGGAAAGTAAGGCAGGTACGGGCTGCCCTTGGACGTCTTGGAAGGTGCAGGGGAAGGGGCTGGTTGGGAAATGGGTGTGGAGGACCCTGAGATGGGCAAGGTGCTACCCGACTCGGTACACGTGTAAAGGTAAGGAACATGGCCATCAGGAAGGAGTGTGCAATGCCGCAATCCCCGTCGGAGCTCATGTAAGGGAAAGAAAAAGGCTAACACGTCCGAGCCTCCAAGGGATCAAATGAGGTTCCATTGCGAATATCCGTACTTGGAATACCAAAGTGCTATTGCTCGGGTTGTTCCATTTAGCCTGATCCCCTTCTGCCCTTTCCTTCCAAGCGTCGGCCTGAACTTTGAATCTAGGATAGCACCTCCAGAGTCAGGAAGGTAGAGTCTAGAGTTCTGAATCTTGCATTGTTTCTTTCCCTTTGACGGCCATGTGATTCCCTCTCTTGTTCTGGACCATTCTCTTTGTTGCCTTATGCTTCTCTTCCCGCCTTCTTTTCCCGCGTGCTTCACGACGGATGCTTACACCAACCTTCCCCGGTTACTCCATTTTCCCCTCAACTCTCCAATTCCCGCTTTACCGAACCGACAGCCCGAAATTGTGTCTTCACCTTCCTTCTTCTCGTCTAGAGCTTGTCTAGAACATTTCTTGGTCCAAGTCCATCTCTTCCCCTACCGCCAAAGTCCTACGGTCTACGGATACCTTGGGAGACCAAGAAGACCAAGGGGGATATTGCCACCAATTAACCACGACGCTTTCCTCCGCGTTGGCGCGCTTTCCCCCAACTTTGCCTGCGTCCCGTCCCTTTGCTGCCCCGCCCCCCTGTCAGATGGTCATTCGTCCTCCTGCACTCTGAGCTGTCAAATCTCGCCTGCTGTGCCGACGGACAAATTCAGCACCACAGCTTTCTCTCTCTATCCCGCATCGGGTCTCTTGAGGCTTCAGGGTCCAGCTGAAAAGGAACAGGCGCCGGGGGCAGAAACAGGGGCATTCGGCTTCGAGGCAATCACTTCCGTTTGGCGACGGCTGCACATCCCGCCTCCCTCACGACTCTCACACTAAGGGAGATCTCTTATTGGTATTCTTCAAGCTCAAGGACGGACAGCCACTCAAGAACAAGCATTCAAAGGCTCGAGGGAACGGCAGACGCAGTCCGAACTCGTCCAGCTCCATCTGCTTTCTCCTCTTCTTCCGCCCCCGATCCAACCCGGGCCCTTGATCTGCCTGCTGCCCGCCTATGCTTTCACGCGTCTTCGTGCGAATACCCACACACACGCACACAGACACACGACAACCCCTTCTCCCCCGGCTGATCGCGTGTCACGAGAGCGACAGACATTGGAGACGGAGAGAATAAGAGGCGGATCGAGCATGGGAGTTACCGCTGGCGCCGCCCTACCGAAGCAATTGAATTGCTGAATTTCCCCATTATTACCCTGCTGCCCCCAGTCGCCAAAATCCACAGTTCCACACTTGTGCACCTCTCACCTACGAATACGTACTCGGTAGTACCCAAGGCAGGCAGTCCAGCCCAACCTCTGCACCAAAGGCACCTTAGGTTCCCTACGAACACCTCACCGTAATAATTAGGTACAACAGAGTCACAGACCGCACCTCAGTATTTGTACCCGCAATACGGTGCGGTAAGGTACCGATTACTCTCAACTCACCAGCACATCCACCCAAAAGCCCGCTCTGAAATCGGTCACTGGTTGGTACGGATACCTTGCCCACCCGCTACTAGACTGACTACCTCCGAAATTCACTTCTGTCCGGCTGACCATCAAGTACCTCAACCTTGTAGCGCTTGCCCCAAGGTTCCCTTTTTCGTCGCCCTGGTCACCTCTTGCTCCCCGTCCTCACTGCGTCTCCGTTAGGTCTGCCTCTCCGCAGCGGTGCACCTGAGGTACGAAGTACACACATCCATAGGAGACGACTCATCCCATTTTACAATAACCACCCCATCGCCGCCGCCCTTTCTCTCGTTCTCCGTCTTCTATCCTCTCCCTCGCGACTCAAAAAGCTCCCAACAAGGAAACATCTTTCATGCGTCGGGCTGGTCATGCCGTGATCTGGATCGCGATTTCGACTCACCATCAACTCTCGTCTCTCCCTCGACACAGAGCTGGACGCTATTGAACCGGTACCTTGCATCCGAACCGTACAAGTAAACACACATACACAACTACACACTCATCTACGAATACAACACCCGCACCAGTGGAGCACTTGTTCCTGATTCACCCAAGGAACGGACGACTCTACGCCACCAAACCAAATTACCAGACAACAACCATTGCGCGAATCTTTACATCTCGACATTCTCCCCAGAGCGGATTTCCGACGAATCGATTGCTAGGTGAATTCCAATTCGGCTTCGCTCTTTGGCATACCTCGCTGTGGAATTCAACATACCCCAAGAATTTCCCACGGCCGAGGTATCCCCAAGACCAAGGCACAAAGAGGCGCTCGCCCTGAGAGAGCAATTGCGCTAATAAGCCATCCAACAGCTTTTGCGTCATCCCTCCTGCACGCACGCTGCAACTGCGCATCGCTCACTCCCTGTCGGCAAGCCCCCCCAAGACATCCATCCCACCACCGGTGTCGATGCTCCTGACCTGGGTCTCAACCCCCAGCTGCCTCCTTCTTTCTCAAGAGTCTTAATCATGTTCGCCTCCGACTCTTTCCTGCCATCGGCCTTTACCGACCACGATCCCAATATGCCGCCCTCTGCCGTCATCTCTCCGTTGTCACTCAATCGAATGGCGAGCTCCTGTTACTTCGACAATAGATCGGCGGCGACGACGAGTGCCACGGGCAACTCTATTTACTCTCCACGATCATCCGGCGCTGTGCGCTATCCGCCGCAAACGCAAAGCCTTCTTTCACCCCATTTACACCCCAACGGCGTCAACGGCACAAACGGCTATAGAGAGACGGTTTCGAACGACCAAGTACCAAGAGTCGTCTCGCCGACTCATTTCGAACAATTCGAAGGCCACAACCCCTCCGCGTTTGCGTCGACGGCCAGAGTCTCTCCGAACGGAATGCCTCACCCACGATCAGTATCTGCCGATGCAGCCTCGGCTCCCGCGTCTGCACAGATTATTAGACGCCTCGCTCAGCAGAATGCGCGGATTCGGGAAGCCTGGGAAGCCGAGCGCAAGTACATGGAAGCCAACCGCGAACGTGTCGAGGAAGTATACAAGGAGGAGCGGATAATTATGGAAGACGAACGTCTTGCATGGGAAGCCGAAAAGAACGACCTGACGGAGCAGATCCGCCGCCTCAAAGAGCAAGTTGCAGCGATCGACAATGACAAGATTCGGCTGCAAGGTGCGCTGCAAAGAGCCGAGCTAGAGAAGGCGGGCAAAGTCGCCGGCGTCACTGTTGCAATTCCAGGAACAGGAACGCGAGGTGGGGCCGACGGCTCCACTGAACTTTCTTTCCCAGGATTCTCCTCGCAACCCAATGACGCGCGGTTCGGCCTCTCGAACGGCACTGCACAGCGGAGGCCGACTAATGGCTCTTCCTCAGCCTCCGTCTCGCCAGCCCAGATCCGATCTCACTTCATTAGTCCTGGTAGTTCCCGGATTTCTCCCTCCAGGCAACCAGAGTCTTCGCCATTCATCCCACTCAACCCCAAAATGCAACCCACTACCGCAGATCCCGTCGACTTTCTCGGCTCTCCCAAAGACGAGGAGCCCGTCCCCATTGTCGACATTCAAATCATCAACCCCCAACTCGAGGGCGTCCCCCTCAAGGCACCTGCCATTCAAAAGAGCACATTCATTGACTCTGGCATGACCCCTCCGGAAAACTCAAAGACCTCTTCCAGAGCCGTTTCCCCGCCTGGAGAGTCTGGCAAGTCCAGGCGAAGCCCTACTCAAGAACACACCCTCGAGGTGCTGGCCGCTCCCGAGCCTGCCAGACTCGTCATGCACGCCGGCCACACGCCCAGTCATTCCCTTTCCGTTCTCGGCACAGCTCCTGGCACAGAAGTTGCGACAGTCGCTGACGGTAGCGGAGGCTCTACACCGACTTTGGCACCGACAGACATGAGCTCGAACCCGGCAACGCTGTATGATGTCAGGGCCAGAGCAGACTCATCCGATCTTCAGGATGACGCTTACGGCGGTACCGAAGAGCCCCTCCCCACGTTGGAGGCGGCAGACGACGTTGCCCTGAAGGGCCCCTTGATGGTTCGCAACATCCCTGCTCATGACGAAATCTTCTTCAAGCGTTTGTCCGAGAAGCTCGAAGGCGTGAGCAGCGGCGCCGATGCCGTTCCCACTTGTATGAAGGCGCCAACTCCTGAACTCGTCGAAGAGCCTTTGGAGGCGAAAGAGAACCTCTTCGTAGCGAAGGCGGATGCGGATGCCGCCAGCGACAAGGGTTCAACCAGTGACAGAGCTTCTTCCTCTGATAGAGACGACGTCTCCGAGTCGCAGAGCAAGCTCGAGGAAATCGACATTCCCCTCAAGCTCAAGCAGAGCACCAACTTTGGAGCTCCGTTGGGCGCCATGTTCTAAACGTCGCAGAACCAACTCGCGACTACTCTTTTTCGCAGGAGCCAGTTCTCCTCATCACTACAGCCGAAACCCGCGCATAGACTTTTCATAATTTCTGATCCCATTCTGCACATACGATCCGCCTCTCTGTACAAAGTTGTGGACTTTCTACACTCACTTGGCTTTGGCTTTTCACAATAGACCAGCCGCCTTCAGCTCATTTCCTATGTATATTCCCGTACGGTGGGCGGCTTGCTTTTCAATTCCCCGGCGATAGACAGGATGACTGGAAGGGTTCCCTCAGTGCTCCACGGAGCAGCATCACTCGATTTTTCTCATGGAACGGATTTCCACGGTGTTTACACAAAAATGCACAATACCCCCGGAGGATTGGAATTCCTTCTCACGAATTGGCTTGGTTTTTTTATTTTTCAATGGATACGGTGTCGATGGAGGCGCAGACGCAGAGGTATGGGTGGAAGTGGTAGCAGGGACAAATCGACGCAAGAGACGTTATGGATAGGGGAGGCACTTGGGACTTTATTCCTAGGCCGATCCATCAACAGATTGACAATGGAACAACTGGAAGACGGTCGGTGCGTGGCCTCTGGAGGTTGTTTGCTGGAAGCGATGTATAGGCATAGCCGAACAAGAATAAACATTGCTATCACGGTCATTGACCGTTATTTGTCAACGCATACATTGTTCCCATTCTCATGCCTGGATTGCAAGCTGGTGTGATTAGATTCCTACAAAGAGTGAGGTCATGTGTTACAAGTCAACTGGTTCAATCTTGAGTGTAAAGAATAATGGTATTGATTTAGCTCGTGCTATGCGTATTCCCTTCTCTTCCCTCTCCCCTTTCCCCGCTCCCTATATTGCTGCTTGAGAAGTAGGCGGCAGGTCCGCAACCCCCTTCCGGAGACAAGCGTTGTTGATGAACCCGCTACTGAACCTCGTCTGGTGGTCTTCTGCATCGACAGCCCAGTGTCCTCCCCCCCCCCTCCCAGTCCCTTCTAACCCTTTCTCTATTCGTGACGAATACTGCTCGAGTTTGACAAAACTATTTTTAACATTATTTGCATAACCTCAAGGTTTTGTGGGGAATCGGGTCGTTGGTGGGCTGATATCACGCAGCCAGAGGAGGGCGGAGACCTTTGTCCAAGGTAAATCATCACCATGATTCACTCGATTTCCCTCTCTCTCTCTCTCTCTCTCTCTCTCTCTCTCTCTTTACCTTTTTTTTTCTTTTCTTTTTTTTTTTTTTTTTGCTTCCTTTTGTTTCCCTTCAAATCCTCGCAATCAAATCATCCAAGAGCTCCCCCGTCTCGCCGGGACTCGCGATCCACGCCGTTGTACCCACGCTCCGGGCCTTGAAGTCGTTGCTGCCCGCGCTGAGGAACTGGTCGCCAATGTGCAGCGTCTTCTCGCCGGCGATGGGGGTCTCTGGGTGTCCCGCCTTGGCGGCGAACCAGCGCTGGCAGACGGTCACGCCCCACGACTTGTCGCCGATGTCGACGAAGACGTCGCGGCCGCCGTTGAAGGCGCAGAAGGGGACGCGGCGGCGGACTGCTGTAGCTAATTCGGCGGAAGAGGCAGAAGTAGAGGGCGCGACTGTGCTGTGGCCGGCTGCTTGGGCGGGGGACCCTAGCGCGGAGAGCTCGAGGATTTTCTGGACGACGAGGACGGTTTCCTCGAGGGACTCGCGCGGGATGCGGACGGCCGGGTCGGTTGCCACGATGCCGACGGCGCGGTCTTTGCGGAGGAGGGTGGCGGGGAGGTTGAGCGTGCGGATGCACTCGAGCAGGGCGCCCTCGGCGACGTCGAGGAGCGCGGAAATGTCGGCGTCGGACCAGGATGCCATTTCGGGTGTGAGCCACTGCTCCTGCGGGACGGGGGCCAGCAGGTGCGGGGAGGACGGGTCGTATTCGAAGAGGTAGTTTGCTTCGCCGCCCATGATGACGATGGAGGCCTTTTGGGTAGGGGTCAGGTCCGGTGCGGCGGCGATGGCGTCGAGGAGGCCGTGGAGGCGGTCGTAGTAGCGGTCTGCTGTCGTGTAGCCTGCTGCTGTGACGATGCCGATTTTGATGTCGCGGCGGAGGAGGGAGAGGAGGCGGGGGATTAGGGGGGAAGTGGGGAGGAGGGATTCGCCGTCGTCGTAGAGGGTTACGTCTCCGTCAAAGGTTGCGAGTTGGAGGGAGGTGCTGGTGGATGGGTTTGGGCCGGGGCTGGGACTGGGGCTGGTGACGGCGAGGATTTGAGCAGCGTTGAGGATGAGGCGGACGTCGTTGAAGGAGGGGGAGACGTAGCGGCGGGAGGAGATGAGGCGTTTTGCGTCCATGAGGGTGAAGGCTGCTTCGAGGGGGAGGCGGGTGAAGAAGGGCCCTGCTGAGGGGACGAGCATTTTTAGTTTCGAGGGGAGGTCTTCGTCTTGACGGGTTACTGCGGTTGTGTCAGTTTGACAATTTGGTTCACAAGGGAGAGGGATATATGAAGTGGATTGGATGAGATGAGACTGGAGGAAGCTTACTGTGGTCGTCAATCATGTGCTCGACGTCGCGAAAGATTTCAGCGTAGCGGCGGTGAGATTCCTCTGCCATGCGGGCTATGCTCGTCGCTCTCGTGTCGAAGACGCCGGTGGGCTGAGAGTAGAGTACAAAGGGGACTGCCAGGAGACCTTTGATCCATTCTGGAGTTGAGGGTTAGCTAGTTGCCGATGAAGGAAGAGCTTGATCGGCTTTGGATATCGGAAAGGGGGCTGATTTTGAGGTGGCCGACGATGGTAAGTTGGGGAAACATCTGGACAGCGACTTTGTTGCCGCCCGGATTCTTGATCATCGTTACTGCTCCAAGTTTCCCTTGACTAAGAGATCTGTTGTTGCGAAGCTGCAATGTGAGTCTCTGGACACTTGTCATGAGACTTGACGAGCTTAGTGGATGCTGCCGTACCTATGAACTGGTCTCGCCTGTGGGTCTTGAGAGCATCTGTACGAGCGTTAGTTGCCAAGGTCCTCTCAATGAACAGATGACGGTATGTTTTGCTTACACTCTACTCTGTATCTTGTCGTCATGGTGGCTACCTTCGGATTCGAGGCCAAGGTTGAGTGAGAGTGAGGTTGAAGATGGCGGGGCGAGGAGGGGTAACTGCTCTTGGAGGGGTACCCAATTCGTGTCACTATCTTCCAGTCTAGTATCAAATCTATGAGATTACGAGATTCCCAGTGAAAAATTGAAGCCTTAAAGGTTGTGTATAAGGAAGAAGAATGGAGCAGTACTGAGAAAGGTAGAGAAAGGTGGCAAGAAGGAATGCAGTCAGAGTCTCCGTGGTGAATAACGAAGTGATGTTGAATTCCACCGCCCCATGGAGCTCGTGGGATCCACTTTTCCCCAACTGAGGAGTCTAAGGTGCAGGGCCCCGTGTGGTCGGGTGGTCCAGATTCGGGGGAGAGATGCACCTGTCGCAGGCGGAATGCACCAGTGCCAGGGGTGCGCTGCAACGCTAACATCTACCGGAGGCCGCCGCTACCCGGCTGGCTCAGTTGTAGATGTTCAGGGTTCACTGGGAGCGATTGGGGAAACGCAACTGCTTTGACCCGCTTTGGGGGTGTATTCGTACCTCGCTGTTCGTGTTTATGACTCTTGCGGTTGTGGTTTACCTAATAGTTGGATTCCGAGTATCACGGAGCATGGATTCTGGACGAGAGACTATGAGATTGATAGCGTGCTTCGCCGGCTTCATTTCCATCACTCTGGCTCTCTCCAATGACAGGGGAATCTCCACAATGCTAGCCTGTTGACTCACTGATACACTCTCCCAGCCCCAAGGCCTTATACGTATGCCGACGGAAATGCAAAGCTGAGTTGATTCAACCTCACTACTCAAGTGAATGCTACGAAGTCACCAATAGCTTGTCGCAATACACCAGCTCTCACTACTGCCGTCACCAGTGCTGAGCTCTTGCATACAGACAAACACATATACATGCACCGGCCACTCAGATTACCCATTATCACTGTTGTGTCTGCCAAGACGGTACTCAAGGTCACTCGGTAACATGGATGGAACGAAGTTGAGATGGTGTAAATAGTGAACTATTATCATCTCTTTGACCGTGCTCAAGCTCAAGTTGCAAGTCAAAAGTGGGCGCTGAAACATCGAAGGGATAAGAGATGGTGTTCACTTACAGAAAAGGTTCGGGTTAGGCTTCACCCACAGCCTGATCAAACTAAGAATCTGCCAAAAAGACAACTACGACTGGAACGGAGGCGCCGGACCACATGTTGGAGCGGCGAAGACCGCTGCCTTCTTAGCTACGCGAGGGCCCGTAATTTGTCATCAACTGAGTAGGATCGATAGCTCAGTGGTAGAGCGAGAGATTGCAGTTCCACGCAGTTATCTCTAGGCCCCGCGTTCGAACCGCGGTCGGTCCTGTCCTTTTGCCAAAATCACGTGCAATTCCTTTTTGTCTTGGGCATGCGCAGGAGTTACACTCAGCAAGCCAGAAATTCAAGTCGGAGGGTGTTGTTTCCAGATTTCGTCGAGCACAAACCAGCAAAAGCCAATCCATCCCAATTCTGGTCTAGCAAGCATCACCAGCACACACGCAGCCACACTTGCGTTGGTATAAGCTTTCCAGTTAGTAGTCAACCAAAACCTTTGCCATTCGCAAAACGGCTTCCATGTCTTTTCGCAGCGAGTTATGCCTTGTGCACACATGCATCATACCAGAACATCATCTACAGCCTGCAACTCGGTCCGACTTATGTTCATGACGCCTACATATGAGCCCGGGATGCTGAGCCATGGCGGAAACCCCATTCACCCTCGCAATAGGCATGAGACGATATCGGAATAGGGACTCAAATCATTCAATCCCGAGTAAAAAGCTTGGAGTGATGCTGAGTTAATTCAACGATGTGTCATTCTACGCCCTAGTGACTCGAAAGTGTCTTCAAGGTTTACCGGGATACGGAAGACGCAAGACGACTGAATTCGAGGCTTCTTTCGGAGACCAACCCAATCATAAGTTACCACTCGTGTAGTTTTCAGTTATGAATGGAGTTGAAGAAGAAGAGACGAACGTTGTCAATAAGAGACCGGGCCAACGTCTCGGCCCCGGAGCTCGTAGAACGGCCGCCCGAAAGCACGTCCCGTAACGGAGTAGTCCGCTCCTGCATGAAGCTGGCGGAGTTCGGGCACCGCAATTTCGGTCAAAGTCTGGGGGAGGAGAACCACGGCCAGGCGATCAACGTGATCGAATTTGAAATTTGAGAGATCTCGAATCAGGGCAACGGGTTTACGGTTACATGAGCTAAGGACCTTGTGTGTTCTGTGACGAATAAGAGGGGTTCGCTTGGTAATTGGGACGGAATCGGGGGTGCGGGCGAGTGAAAGCCGATGAAACGGCTTCGAGGAGACGTGGAAAGGGTGTGTGTAGTGATATCACATCTGAATGGAAGCACAATAGAGTAAAGGTTTCTTTTTCATAAAGAGGCTGCTTCGTCGATCTCGGGACACTGCTGGACCTCAACTACTCGCACCCAAACCCCTCTTCAGATCAAGGAAACGACATGTTGCAATCCTTCAGCCTCGACGAGGCCCGGTGGTCTTTGATGCTGGTTTTGCCAGTCGCGGCGTTCTATTCTGTAGGTCAGACCTTTTTATCCTGTTACAAAATCCCATGAGCACATTTAGACGGACCCGAACTCACCCCTCTCCCAGCTCCTCGCATACTTCATAGGATACGCCATCTACCAGCTCTACCTCAACCCCCTGCGCAAATTCCCAGGCCCAAAACTATGGTCAATCTCCTCCGTACCCTACGTCCGCGAATTCATCGCCGGCACTTGTCACCTCACGATCCTCCAACTCCACCAAAAGTACGGCCCCATCGTGCGGGTAGGCCCCAACCACCTCTCCATTAACCACCCGGACGGCATGGCAGAGCTCCGAGGCCACCGCAAGAGCTTCACCGGCGAGAACGGCAAAGACCCCGTCAACGCGCTGCCGAACCGCGACAACATCATCGGCTCCGATCGCGGGGACCACAGCCGCTTCCGCAGGGCGCTGGCGCACGGATTCTCGGCGCAGTCTATGCTGGCGCAGCAGCCTATTATCAAGGGGTACGTCGATACCCTCTTTGAGAAGCTGCGGGAGGCATCGCGGGGTGGCGAGGAGACGGTGGATGTGGAAAAGTGGTTCAACTTTACCACGTTCGACGTTATTGGTGATTTGGCATTTGGGGAGCCTTTTGGGTGTCTTGAGGATAGCACGTATCACCCTTGGGTCGACCTCATCTTTAAGAGTATTAAGAACATGGCCATGTTGACGAGTTTCCGGCGTCTGCCGTGGCTGAAGCCGATTCTCATGTTGACGCTTCCCAGAGAGCTGATGGGTAAGTATGCTCAGAATCGGGAGCTGTCGAGAGAGAAGTTGCGGAAGAGGTTGGAGCTTGGGAAGAGCCGGCCTGATTTCGTGGATGCAATGATCAGGAAGTCAGAATCAGCAGGTCATGTGAGTACCGCCCGTTCAGTCAGAATATCTCGAAGAGGCGATAGTCTGCCAGATGCTGTAAGCTGGTTACTAACATAGAGATACAGGCCATGTCGTTCGAAGAGATGACCTCCAACGCCATGGTCCTCATCATCGCCGGCTCGGAAACGACAGCCACGCTGCTGACTGCGGCAACGTACTTTCTCGCCACCAACCCGCACGTGTTAGCCAAGCTAAACGACGAGGTCCGATCGGCATTCACGACGGAGGATGAGATCGATATGCTCAGCGTGCAAAACCTGCCGTACCTCTTGGCCGTCTTGGACGAGAGCTTGCGAATCTTCCCGCCGGTGCCTGGCCCAAGCCCGCGGGCCATTGGCGAAGGGGGCGATACGATTCTGGGCGAGTTTATTCCGCAAGATGTAGGTTCCTTCCGGCGATATCTTATTCGTGGTGTCATGGGAGGTTGTGTGTGCGCTGACATTGAGAATCTTGTGTTCTAGACGGTGGTGGACACCTGGCATTGGTCAGTCTACCATAACCCCGATTACTTTACAATGCCGGAGGAATTTATGCCAGAGCGATTCTTGGGCGACCCCCGGTTCGCGAATGATGCGAAACAGGCTCTGCAACCGTTTTCTATCGGTCCTCGCAACTGCATTGGGAAGAAGTAAGTAGCCCTCAAGACGTGCTTCATGGCGCACGCGATGGAGTCGATACCGTTGGAGATCCCCGCTGACAGATGATTATCTAGTCTTGCCTATGCCGAGATGAGGTTGATTCTGGCCAGGCTGATCTGGAACTTTGATATCCACCCAGCTGCGGAGACAGCGAACTGGTACGCTGAGACAAAGGTCTACATTCTATGGGAGAAGGGCGGCCTGGATGTCTATCTGACACCCCGGGTTCTGAAAGGCTGAATGAGAGGCTTCCGATATCTGGCCATGCGTCTTGAGACGGCGATGGAAGGCCCATGTGCAGGGATAGCATTGATCAATTCGTGTATCTGTGAAGTTGACAATTGCGGTCAAAGGGAATGCGAAGGATGAAGCACCTTCATCACGTCCCATCTCATGCATCGCCGACCATCCGGAGGATCGAAAATGATTTGTCTTTTCCGGGCAAATAGTTGGATCAGATCCTGGAAAAGCAGCCTATATCTCCCGTCTTCTCATTCATGTAGCGATAATGAGAAATGCGATCAGCAGCTCAAGACAGCACCTCATGTTCCACAGGCACCAAGGTTACTGGAAATTGGCGATTTCCGTAGTTGCTGGAAGCTCCGAGATTGATCCGGACTCATCTCCGCTACGGCAGGCAGCTCCTCCGTCTGCGCTCTTTCATTGGTCTGTTCCCAAAGCTTCACCCTTGTATACGCACCTGGCGGGAAATGGTAGCCTCAGTCCCACCCACACCCCATGGGAACACCTATATAAACCTGACCTCCTCCCACCCTTTGCTTGATTTCTTTTTTTCTCTTCTTCATACTTACCTTCATGGGCGGTCTGGGGATCAAGAAATCCGGATCGCAGAGAGGGATGCCTGCATTGCACATCGCGGAGTAGACCTCTCTCGATTGTCCTTCGGGGCCATCGCTGTGGCAATTTTTGATTTTCACACCCTCACATTTTCATTGTGTCCATCCGCTGCGTGCGATGGTATGAAGAAGATGTGCAGCCTCTCCAGCTCAGGCCAGCAAAAAAGCACCTTGATGGCCAGGTGAGAAGGCTGCCACCCCATATAGGCACCTCCAACTCTGTTCCTGTCACCAGCACAGCAGGCGCCCTCTAGGTCGAGGGTCAGGTCAAACTGTGGCGTGGGTGGTGGAATGGTTAATGGTCAACAATTATTCACGCCAACCAGCCTACTCGACGACAGGCTTAGCGATCGAGTTCGAGTCCTAGCATGAGCACCAAGAGATGTAGCCCCCAAATCGGCACCGGGGGGGTGAACTCTTTTGCCTTTTGTATCGAGTTTTTGGTCGTGTTTTTAAGTACCTGAGTGATGCTTTTGGTGTTTTGGTACCATGATTCTGAGTTTAGATGCTTAGTCATCGGTTTTGAACACCGAGACGCCACTCAACATCTCTTGATTAGAAAGAGATGGTTTGTCGCACGTCGCGCCAGTGATTTCCAGACGCGCCAATTGATTTTGTAGGATGTCGTGACTGCATTATGACTGTCTTCTCTGGCCCTTAGGATCGAATCATACATCACTGACCTTGCGGACGAATTCCATCGAACAAAAGTGTGAGGCAGCAGTATTAGGTGATCCATCAAAGAGCTCGAAGTCTCTTCAGGACGTGTTCAACCTGACTCCTTGATGGCGTGCATTATGTCTTACCTGGAGTGTCGGCATCCACGTATCTGGTGGTCCATCCCGTGGCCGAAGAGGAGTGAGACTGCGTAACAGATTGGCAGTAAGCCCCTGGCCTTGACCACGCCATCCAGCCCAAAGGACCCTGTGGAAACCATAGATACTGAATGCCTCGGAAGGATCGATGAAGCAGTTACGTTCGGACTGAATATGCCTCTCTTCCCTCTTGAGTAAGCAGTGAAATGACTTTTGTGCCCGCAGTATGTTCTCTCGGGCAATTGATCATTGTAGAAGGTGTACACTGCTAAACGGACATGGAGTCTCTCTCCTAGCAACGTCTTGGCCCTACCGGTATCACATAAATCTACCCTCGAGCTTTCCCACAATGAACAACAATGAAGGGAAGTTGCCAGTCTATGTAACTGTTCCCTGCTCTCAGGCACGTAGTCTTGGACGGGAAATCCCCAAAGGGCCATGAAGTCACAAGGAGATTTTTGCATAAAGACAGTCCAGTTGCCATTCAGGTTCGTGACAATGTTTACGGACCTGCGAAATCGTGGGCGCCTGGGCTGACAGTACGCATCTTGGTACCACCCAGATCACTTGTCTTTACATCGACCGTACGGCACGTTCGGAAGAAAGTAAGTAACGACAATAAACCCATCACTTTGTCTTGCTCGCATTCCTGACGTCTTCTTGCACGCCTTCACTGATTGGTAAGATGCGAGGCCAAACGTGGGTTCCTAGCTGGACCAGCCAGATGAGTGCCTCATGGTCCGCAAAGCACTGCGTGAGCTCTGTCTTCAGCCATAGTTTGCCTCGTGCCAACGGGACCAGACCCTCAGAGACGGAAGTCAGGGACGGGGCTTATTTTGGGAAAAGAGCAGAATGGCTAAGGCGTCATGGTGTCTTCATCAAGTTAAAGGAGGACTTGATGAAGGGCCGGCACTTCAAGAGATCAGGCAAAACATTGAGAACCAAAGGGGGTCTCCAACCCGGCTCCAGCTTCATATATTACCTAAACAGTAGACATCATTCCGTTACTTTGGCATATTATGTAGCACGGAGTTCGCCATGAGGGTAGAGACATGGGATACCGAATGAGATTCCAATGTGCGAGTGGTCCCATCAGGTCCGAATGGGAGACGTCAGCTCCTCCATCCAATCTATGCCCGAAGCTCAGGGTACCGGCCTGGAGGGCAAAGTACGCTCTGAGCCCGCGGTGCTGTCTAGTTGGAGTAGAATATGACCCCAAACGAGTGAAATGTCACATAAGATCTTTCTCCTTGTAAGAGCCTTGTCACTGAATCATATTCCTTCCAATACTTTCTGCCTCGTATGGATAGGAAGACATTCTCAGTGGTGTCTACGGTATTTCATATCGGAGTAAACAGAGAAGAAACGAGCTTACTCACGAGCCTATATAGACTAATCGCATAGATCCACACAAGACACATAATAGCAAGCCTAGAACAAACTAAGTCATTGTATTTGTCCGCCATGATAATAGAGAGAAAGGTTTAAAGACTCTAAGTTCCTTTCTTGTTCGTCTCTCTCTCTCTCTCTCTCTCTCTCTCTCTCTCTCTCTCTCTCTCTCTCTCTCTCACACACACACACCCTGACCCTCTTAGCTATCCCTTTATTCTCTCATTAATAAAAAGACGTAAAGCCTAATACAGCCACTTTCTCTTTTCTAGAGCCCGCTTCCCTAACGTATTCGTCACTCCGAACGGCGGGACGATAAACGAGGATAAACAACCGTGGTCTTTGTAAATGTCTACTTTACTCTGTCGCTTAGTCCTATCGCATCGACTCCAAGAATGTCAAAGGCAGCTCGTCTCCCTCGACCATTCACAGCTCGACTAGCTTCCACTGTCATCACTTCTTCGATGTGATTTGTGATGACCTCTGACGTCTATTAGAACGCGACCTCCTTGTATACTTTAGAACAAAGCACCGATACAGGAGCATGAGAATGATAAAGCGTGCTTTGTTCGCTCCAAGTCCGAGACCAAGTTTGCCTCGTTGATGAAATGGATGCTAGAACCGTCGCCCACAACCATTGCCTCTCTAATACGCAATGCCTTTTGTGTTTGGGGCTTATGCTCCAAGGAGATCGCTCCCCTGAAGTCAAGAAGAGAGCGGGCTCTCTCTGAGGTCCGCAACATCTAGTACTTGCTATAAACGCACCACCTTAGCAGAGTACAGGCCACAAGATCTATAAGACAGCCTTACGTTCCAGGGGTCATTATCCTGTATTCTAAAGGGGACGAATACGAGAGTGATACACGACGATATAGAACGGGCGCGTTATTATTGAGAGATGAGTCCCTGAGTCATAGTAACTGAACGGATCTGCCTTCTAATTACCAGAAACACCTTCCGCGGCCTTCTCGAGCATTCATACCTCAGCCCACCAATGTGACACAAGTCAGCCGTGCCCTCAAGTCGTGAGCAAGAACGAGGCGGCTTTGTATTTACAATCACAATGATAGACATATGTACGCCACATCATGGCCTTTCCAAAATATGTACACCAACATTCACGCAAAGGCACAAAGCAAAACATCACATGAACGAATTGATTGCTCATATTTCCCGCCCATCCCCTTCATCCAGGTTGCTACATAATCCTACGGCGCCCTTTCATTCGATGCTTCCCAGGCCAACCCGGCAGTCATCCGACAAAAGGACCACATGAGAAAGGAAGGAGAGAGCTGCAAAGAGAAGAAGAGAAATCAAAAGAGGACGCTGAACGCGACGCTGTGCTGTGATGTGCTACAGAACCCTGGTATCCCTGATATTTGAAAAGAAAAAGGATAGAGTTCTGAACCCCCAAACGCCACCCTTACGCTTTGCCGAAAGCCGTTGAATCCAGACCATTTTTGAATATCCCTGCCTTGCAACCAATCTTGAAAGACGTGTCGTTGGCAGACAATTCCTGGATTGAATACATGGGCGATTGTATGTACGTTTCGGCCCAATCTGACCTGGATCAGAAAGGAGACCTGCGAATTTTTGAAGACTTGAAACAGGGACGCTAAAATAAGTGCAAGCCATGCCGCAATCATTCGTCGTCAAAGATCTCGTAGGTGTTTTGCAGAATTGTATCAACAACCTTGATCTGCCATCCGGCGTCGGCGATGCTAGTTGCCGGATCGGTGCCCATGACCGTGGGGCCAAAGATGACGGAGAGGTTGTGGGAGTTCATCCGGTTGACATGGGAGTTCTCCATGACGCGGTGGAGATGGAGGGTCAGCGAGCGCAGAGTGGCGTAGTTGGGATCAGGAAGGCTGTTGATGATGGCGTGGAGGGAGTCTCGGCGAACAATGTCATCTTCTTGTTCTAGGAAGGGTTAGTGATACTCAGAAGCAATCAACAAAGGAAAACTTACTGGCTGCCTCGATCAACTCGCTGTGATGCTCTGTAGTGAGCAAAGGGTTGGGGAGATCACGCAAGAACTGCTTCAACAGACCAGTAACACTATTGACGTCATGGTAAAAGTTCTCGGGATTTCTAAAATCCAACGCTGGGTTGCTCGAGTCGGTATCGAACATGGTCTTGAGCTTGTTGATGTGCGTCAACGAGCCGGACTGTCGGTAAATACCCTCGACGCCAAGTCCGTAGAGGTCCACTGCCTGGATACACTGATAGACGACCATGGGCACAGGCAAGCCGTCTCGCTCATACAAGCGAGGCAGGCTTAGCCCGAATGTGGGCCTCGCGGCATTGGGCGACGGTCCGGAAGGGCCGCCAAGAGGAGGAGACTGTCTGTTCTGTTGCGGGTATCCTCCGGCACCTGGTGGTGGTCCTTGAGGATACTGTTGTGCCGGCGGAGCCTGGTGCTGCTGTGGAGGCTGGTACTGGCTTTGTGGCGGCGGCGCTCTTTGCTGGGGCTCCTGCTGCGGCGGCGGAGGCGACTGAGATGTCTGGAACGGCAATGCTCCCAGCTGTGGCGGCCCTTGAGAGGACATGCCGCCGTTGTTGTATGTTGGCGCTACAACACCAGAGTTGCGGTTCGACTGGAACTGTTGCTGTTGGCTGGGCTGGTTCAGCATGTTGTTTGTACTGAAGCTACGGCCGTGCTGCTGCGCTTGAGGAGGAGGATGCTGCTGCTGAGATGATGGTCTCGGCTGTTGCGCGGCCGGCATGTTAGGCGGTGCAAAGCTTTGGGGAGAGTCGGATGGCGGCTGGAAATTGCCGGGTCTAGCAGGAGGTGGCATATCTCGTTGCTGTTGCTGATTTGGTCCTCCTGGTGGTCCAGAGAATGATCCTGATGGCGCCGCCTGGGGTACGTTTGATACCGAAGCATTAGGCTGGTGACCCATTGCTTGTTGGCGGGCAGTTGCCAAGATTGGGTTCTTCTCGTATTTGACCTCGCCGTTGTTGTTGGCCACCTTTGAGTGGTGGGATGTCAGATAATCGTGGAGGTCCTTTTCGTTGTTGATAGCCAGAACAGCCTCGCGAAGACTGCGCGGTCCTCCGCTAGAACCTTGACCTTTGATAGGGCTGATACTAAGGCCGTTGCTCAAGAGCAGCTTCTCGTTGAAAGAAGCTGTGACTGCGTTAGCTCAGGCTTCTTCAGAAGCGAAGTGTGACCTACCAAACTTCTGCATTTGCAGCGCCAGACCAGAGTCGGTCTCCTTGACCAAGTCCTGAAGAGCGGAGATGGCCTCCGGTCTCGTCCTCGCAATCAATTCGGCCTTCTCACTCTGCAGCGTCTGTACCTTGGCCTGATAATCCTGATCGGCGCCTTGGGCTTTGCGCAGAAGATCCTCCTCGTGCTGGGGCCCGGACTTGGACTTCAAGCTGAACATCTTGCCGCTGTTCCTGCTGGTGTCGCCAGTGCGCGCGCGGTCGTACTCCTCAGCCAGACTGTCGTATTTGGCCTTGGACTTGCGCATCGCAGCCTCCAATTCTGCCACCCTGTGTTCTGCCGCCAAGCCGTTGGCCTTCCATCCCTTTCTGCTGCGCTCCGCTACGGCGGCCAGCTCGAGCAAGTCGTCGTGCATCTGTTGCAGTGAGAGGGCGAATTGTGTTCCGTTTTCGGCCATGCGCTCGTGGATGTACATCATCTCGCTGTAGGCCTGCGCAAAAGAGCCTTGCCTGTGATCGGGCTGGTGCATTGTTTCCTGGCTTATACGGGACAACTTCTTGAGTGAGGAGGCGTGGCTTTCTTCGATGTGCGATCGCTTCTTGAGGAAGAGTGCGAATTCCTAGAGTCTCCGTCAGCAGCTGTCATCCTCGTCGGGAATCGGGGTCGGGTTTTGGTCTCACCTTTGCAGAAGCGATACTCGCCTTGAGCTGGTTCAGCATGGTTGCGACACCAATCTGGGCCATTGTCAGTATTCGGGTGGTCCGGAGAGAGAGCAGACTGCCTCCTTACGTCTGATGATAGCACTTCTTGGACCTGACGCGAGACCTCAGAAGTAGGCGCTGAGCCCGTTTCGGTACCGGCGGGAGCGCCGCCGTTTGCCGTTGCGGCACCCCCATTCTGTGAGGGAGCTACGGTTTCTGTGTTTCCTAGCGACATGCTGCTTGCTCTGTCGCGCTGTTCGTTGTGGGAGGGTAGGTTGTCGTCGGATGGGGAGCGGAGGTCGGCCATTTTGAGAGGTCGGGGGGGAGTTGAGCACTGCGGCGCAAGTCTAGTCAGGTAATACGAGATGGAGGCTCGGGCTCAGGTGGCGGCAGGCTGCTTGGGAAGACGGGACGAGACCAGGAAGAAGCCAGGATAGGCGTGGTTTCGAGGCGTGGAGGAGTGAGGTGAGTGAGGGCGCGAGCTTTGCGGCTTTGCGGCTTTGCCGTGGTGAGAGGTAAGGTAGATTCCCGGTGCGACGATGGTAGTGACCGTGAGCGAGGAGAGTTGGGGGATGTGTTTAGGTGGAGAGGCAGGGGGTGAAACGGAGGTAATTCATGCGAGAGGCTCGATGATGGGTTCGTGGGAGGATGGGTCGTCCAATGTGACCGGTCGGACGGGGAAGTGATGGGTATCGTGCGGATGAAATGTGGCCTTGGATACACGGATGAGCGCGGGACGATAGTGGTTGTGGTGGTTGTGGTGGTGGTTGTGGTGGTGTGGTGCTGCACAATGGAAGATGGGCGTCGCTTGTGCGTGGGTACCTGGGCAGCTGCTGATGGACCAGGGAGCACACAGAGAACGGATTAACGTGGGACGAGTGAGGGACCACGACCTGGAGCAAATCGACGAAGACGGGCGAAAGTGGTACGTCAGGGACCTATCTACCTTTGGTAAGGTAGGTGGCTGAAGGTAGGATAGTGGACGTTTAACGGCGTTGACGCGTGGAATTGGAACTTGAAGAGACTTTGATCTGGAATATTGCTGGAACCGACAATGGAATGGATGTCTCGGGCTATTTTTTTTCTTTAACTCTCGAGTTTTTTGGGACGAGACTACGAAGGTACAGTGCCGTGGTCTTAGCGTACCTTAGGCATGTACATCAGGCATGGAAGCCGGGCCGCAGGTGCAGAACTGAAGTAAGGAAGGAACCTGAGGTGATGAGCACACGGGGTCCTTGGGTCGCGGCGGGAGGAAGCTGCGCAGTGGAGAAAAGCGATGGGAGAGAAAGAGCGAGAGAGGCAGAGAAATGTCTGAAATCGGCAAGCGACAGCTGGAAGAAACGCCCCCGTCGCACGGTCTTGCTTTTCGTTTACATTCTTCGTTTGAATCTTACCTTATTGTCACAACCTGCGTTTATGTACTCGTTTTGATACCCGGCATGAAAGATGCAAACAGAGCACGAGACCAAAACAATTGATCCTCGGCGCCGGCAGTGTTTGCGATACTTTGCGATTCAGAGGCACAAGACCATCTACATGACGAGTGCCACTGCTATGCGCCCCAGAGATGGACGTAAGTCAGTACGTGATGGACGACCGCACCTGAACTCTTGACTGCGGACAGTGAGTGAGTTCCTCTACAATCTACGAATATCTTGAGGACGATTCAGTTGGATGCTATGAATAGCGACACTGACTGTAGCGCAATCAGATCGAGACCCCAGTGACAGCCGACTACCTTAATCTCCTCCCCTCCAGTACCATCGAATGGACTCTTTTGCTGAGGCGTCCCTCTCTCCACTATCGGGGCTAAAACGAATAAACTGGAGCCCCCAGCCTCCCACCCCTCTTCAACTCCATTCGCAAATCACACAGACCTCGCACCACCCGCCACCGCCGCCCCAATCGACAAAACGGGCACGTAGTCTCTTTCGAGCTTAGCTTCCCTCAGTTGAGAGCTGAGCACTGCCCTGCCGTGCCTACCCACCTGTGCTCGGCGTTGAAGAATGACGAAGGCTACTATCCAACCCGGCATGTCTTTCGATTTGTTCTGCTATCGAGGCACGAGGTAGCAGTTCACGGCAACCTGAAGCACCATACCAGCAGATCATTTTAGACCCATGGAACGCAACATCAGCCCAGTGACACATCGCTAAAGGGTGCAAAGTAGCCATCGCGCAGGTTTAATTCAACTCGAATACGAAATGAATACACTATCAGTCTTTGTACGGATACGTCGAGCCCTGGAGATACCTCAAGTGGCCCGCCGATCCAGGCCATGCCCTGTTTCGTGGTGCTCGTATCTTCATCTGGTCACTTCTAGCTCGACCATCACTATTACCAACGACAGTTGCAGGAAAGTATGTTGAATAGTCGTACTGAAGCTTTCGAGCTAGCCAAGGGTTTGATTCCTCTAACATTCGATAATGTAATGTTTCGAGTTCCCAATTTCTTCAATTGTCGAGGCATCGATACTGATTCCATTTACAATTCAAAGAGGCTTCAATACGTGCAACTCAAGCAACAACACAGCTTCCTACAGTATTCGCACTCACACATGCTGCCTTTTGCACGATCGCATCAGGTCTACCGGCTAGACATTTGGCAATACTTGACAATCCACCCCTTGGACATCTCAAGTGTCGACCTGGCCCCATCCTCTTGTCATCCCAAAACCGTCCCCTCGACGTCGATCTCGTACAAAGTGTATCACGCCTTTCGCCCCCTGTCCCAGACACCACAGCACGGATTCGACTTGGCATCCCGAGTCCGACAACTGCGACAAAAGATCTTCAAACCCGCCCAATTCTGGACATCCTCTTCAACCCCCATTCATCCCAAACCCCTAGTTGGATTTTGCTTAGCCGTTCTCCCCTTCCATTGCAACAGTCGCCTCGACCGTCGGCGTCGCTCGCCTATTTCGATCCATGCCCCGCGGCTGCGTTCGTCTAGTCTAGGCTTATATTTAAAGTGACGGATCGAAAACACAAAACGCCCCTAGTACCGGAGGTGTGGGCTCGAATTGTTGCCTCAAACGCTTGCCGAGCCGACTTGAACTCTACACAGGCGATCCCTACCTTCTAGACTTTGGCGGGGAACATCTGACTGACTTCAGACCGCCAAGCTTCGTTGATTTTGGTGATATCAGGATGTGATATATCGCCACCATCACCTTCAGTCACTAATCCAGTGTCAGCAACTGCATAAGGGACGTCCCATGATGCATGAGCTATATCCCGCAGACTTCCATAAGATGAAGTGGGGGAGGAGAGTCGTCGACCACTCTACCCTTCATAAGGCAAGTTGACTATCGAACGAATAGAACTCCCATCAATGCCGCCATCCGCACACGATCGTTCAAGGACCTTGTGTTGGTCCGCTGTACGTGTCGGAACTGGCATGACAGACGTCAGCGTTTCAAGCTCTCTGCCGCCATAGTAGTCTTATCAACAGGCGCCATGCCGGACGTGCCGGACTCGGGGCAGACCCGGCTTTAAGTGTTGAGTGCCGGATGCGAGTTTCTCAGTTTGATATGCCCTCGAGGATACCTTCCTCTTGGCTAGAGACTACGGTCGTGTGCCGGTATATCCAGTCCCAGATAAGGCTGGCGAACAATCGCTTCCCTCATCCCCTTCAAAATCGTCCCAAGACATGTGAAACTGGACAGAGGATACGAGGTATGGCATCTGAACAAGTACCGGCTGTCGCCGTAGATTCCGATTTGTCTTTTTGACCTGCGTCTTAACACGCCTGTTCTATGATATGGGTCTAGCAAGCTCCTAGCATGCCCTCTCTATGCCATTCATCAGACGCTCCTCTTCCGCCAAAGTGACTCCATTGGTAACTGTACCGAGACGGCACCCATCACAATCGTCTCTGTGCGTCTCTCCTCTCAAGAAGGAACTCACACCTCTCCCCTGATACCTCGCCATGCTTTTACCTCAGAACGTAATCCGGCTCCCATCGACGCATGGCCGCCAATGCCGCAGCCAGCATCACACCCTCTTCATCCCCAAACTAGTAAAAAATCAAATCCAAAGGCTTCTGCTCATCCCCGTACCGCTCCTTGAACTCCTTCCTCGACAACCACCGCGCGAGCGGCAGCATCGTGTCCTTCATGTCCATGATGCCGCGCTTCTTCTGGTCAATGTGCGAGGCGTCGACCACGAGGCGCTGGAGCTTGTCTAGTTTTAGGGCTCCTATGTTCGTATGGTTAGTTGTCTATGTCTTGCTCCGTTTCTCATGCTGTGGCTATTTGGGACCAAGACCGCAGTCATGTGCGTGTGAGAGAGAAAGAATCAGTCTACGGTACTCACCGTTGTCTACCAGCTCCATGAGTCTGGCGGGCGTTCCGACCGCGATGCCCGTTCGTGTCTTTTGTAGGAACTGGACTTGCTCGTCTACCTTCATGTGCTTTGCAAACTATGATTATACTCATGTTAGCCTTGCTTCCATCTTTGCCTCTCGAGCTGAATCCCAGTATGAACCAAGGGCCCTCTCATCCTCCATCAATCCTCAAACCCCAAAAGAGGGAGTGAATTTCATTTCAGGCAAAGAGGAATTGGGACCGTGGAATATGAGGGAGAGAAGGAGAGAGATAAGCAAAAAACTCACCAGCTTGGAAACGGTACTCTCCTTCCCCTGGAACTTCCTCACGGCCCTCACGACGTCCGCCGCCCTCAAGCCCGCAGCAGCGACGATGATGGTGTGCGGCGCGCCCTTGACCTTGGGCGCCGTGAAGAGCCTGTCGGGCCTCTCTGCAAAGTTCTCGAGGAAGGCGGGGAGGTTGTCCAGGGCGCGGGGTTGTGTCCAGGATGTGGTATCCTTGATGGCGTTTGCTGTTTTGTGTCAATACGCCCTTCACTTTTCATTCTTCGTTTCTTCATGATTCTCGCTGCTCTTTCGAGAAAGAAAAAAAAAAGGCATGATGTATACGAGAAGACGAGGAGGTGCTGAAACTCACCAGAGATGGACAGATCCGAAAGCTCAACCGGACTTAAATCCGTACCGAAGCGGGAAATCTTTTGCGCCGTGTAGTCTGCGAGGAGCTGGTTGTCCATGACGGCAAAGGACTCGTTGATGCCCAGCTCGGCGTTGAGGAGCGTCTCGTCGACCTGGTAGGCCGACTTCTTCTTCTGCTTCTTCGCCTTTTGGCCCTCGCCGCCGTCTTGGCTGGGTGCCGCTCTCTTTTTCGTGTTGGACATTGTTGTTGTTTGTGTGTGGGTGAGTAGTCTGTGAAGCTTTGAATGGACTATCGGGTTTTATATAGAGTGAGTTCCGGTGAGGTGGGCGTCTTTTCAGGTGAAGACTTTTTGGTGGTTCACAAGTTTTCGGTGAGGATTTGGTGTAGTTGATATGAGAACTTGGCTGCGTACGAAAAATTTCGATGTTGAGAACGAAAATTTCAATCTCGCACTGTACGTACTAGAGGTAGGTCCCTTGGCTAGCACCTAGGGGGAGATCTGTTAGGTGCTTGGGCCCGCACTCATGCACTCACAGTGCGCATGCTTTCGTCCGCTGGAGCGCACCTAAAGACGGGCAGTTGCCGGCAGACTGACTGAGTGACAGACATCAAGAAAAGGAGAAAAAAAATCATTGCCTTGCCTGAGAGTATATTAAGTACCTAATGTGCGTAAAATAAGCTTGCCAAGGCGAAGAGGTAATTCATATCACTTTGTCTGTCCATTTTGCTAGGAGACTGGGCAATAGCGGCCGAGTGGTCGCAGGAAGGGGGCCTTTGTGGTTCCGCAGCTGTTGCCTCTCCATTGACCTTCGCCAGGTACCCTAGAAGAGAGGATAGCAACTCATAATCTGGAATCGTCACTTGGTAAGTTGGGCAACTCATTCGTGGCTTTTCTTGGAACCCCTAATAGATGAGAGTACCATACTGCCGAGAAACTTGTACTCAGACTGTGATCGTTTTGCTGGGAGCCAAGTAGTACCCAAAGACCACTGGTCAACACACTCCATTCAGTCGCAAAGGAAGAAAGGGACATGATGAGGACTGTACCATTTATAACAGTGGAGGTTTTGCATACAGAAACCTGCTATCCTTGACCATCTGTCAGATAATGGAAGACGTATCTTCTTAAAAAATAGCTCTCATTGGGAAAAGCCGAGTCATCCTAATGCCCTCAAAAACAAGAGCATCCTGAAAAGACGCTTCACATAGCCTCTGTGGCTTACATGGAACATCACGAAGCCAACAGCCTACCTCCAAGAGACGAGATATTTAGCTTTCCAAGTCTAGCCAAATTTCAGTAGCGCAGGAATGACACAAACGGAGCCAGCAGATAACAGGAAACCCTCCTCGCCGAAATCTAAACCTGCGTCCCGTACCCCCCCCCCCTTCCTCTCCAAGATCCCGCCTCCGATAGAATCGTACCCCACAGGCCGGCCGCATCTATGCCGGTATGCGGTATGCGTGCGAGTGAGCGTGTTGTCTGGCGCCAGGCTTGCCAAGCACGGTCAGTCAGACCCATAAAATTTTCCTAATCGCTGCCCGCCGCTCCTTATCGCTCGCGCGTGCCCCCACACCGAAACTTTTTTTGGTCCCCCAAAGTTCGTAGGTAGTCTCTGGGCAACAATTTTCAAAGGGGAAATATTTTGACCAAGTCCCCCCCTTCTTGACCGCGTCTTTTTGTTACTCCACAGTCCGGTGACCGCTACGAGACCCTTCGAATTGTAATCTCAAAGCCTTGTTGTTCTTGCTCAATTCGACACTTCACACCTTACAACCTCGAACCCTTGAATCTTCCTCGAGTCCAAGAACACACAGCAGGAACAATGGCCTCCGCAGAACTCTCCAAGAAGCGCAAGCGCGCCGAGCCCACGGCCGACGCCGCCGTCGTCGCAGACGAGTCCTCGACGAAGAAGTCCAAATCCGAAAAGAAGGAGAAGAAGGAAAAGAAGGAAAAGAAGGCCGCCGCCGCCGCCGCCGAATCCGCACCCGAAGGCGGAGAATTCATCGCCCTCGAGGAATCAAAGGCCGAAAAGAAGGAACGCAAGCGCAAGGAAAAGGAAGCGCGTAAAGCAGCCGAGGCCGCAGCCGTAGAGGACGCCGCACCAGCAGACGCCGACGCAATGGATGTTGACCCGCCCGCGCAAGAGAAGAAGGTCAAGAAGAGCAAGAAGGAGGATCTGGATGTCAAGACGGAGAAGAAGGACAAGAAGGATAAGAAGGAAAAAAAGGAGAAGAAGGATAAGAAGAAGAAGGAGGCTGCTGCAGAGACCGAGACCGAGGCCAATGGCGTAGAGACTGCTGCCGAGGAGAAGACGGACAAGAAGGAGAAAAAGTCAAAGAAGGCGAAGAAGGCAAAGGACGAGGCTGCGGCGGCGCCCGTCGAAAAAGCGACTGAGCCAGCAGCCCAAGAAGAAGAGACGCCTGCCGAGGGGGGAAAGAGGGAAAAGTACATTGTCTTTGTCGGTGAGTTCAGCCTACATCCCTCCATCATCACCATCCATACCCCCTCAACCCCAGCGCCTCAGAGTAAAGAGACCAATGGTAGCTAACCACTCCCCCCAGGAAACCTCCCCTACACCGCAAACAAGGACTCCATCAACGCCCACTTCGCAGCCTACAAGCCCTCAGCCATCCGCTGCCTCCACAAGGACGGCAACCCCAACGTCTGCCGCGGCATCGCCTTCCTCGAGTTCTCCAACGGCTCCAACATGCGCACCTGCCTCGACAAGATGCACCACACCTCGTTCGACGACGGCCTCTCGCCCGCGCGCCAGATCAACCTCGAGCTTTCGTACGTTGCCTCCCGTCACTGTCCCCGTCCCCTTTCACCCTACTCCTTACCTCTACACTCACCATAACCCTCACCACCATACCTTCAACCTAAGCCTCGTCCTATCCTCCCCTGAACCACCCTAGAACCCTGATACCTAATACAAACACCAACTAACAAACAACAGCGCCGGCGGCGGAGGCAAGAGCAAGTTCCGCAAGGACAAGATCAAGGAGCGCAACGTCCAGCTCGACGAGAACCGCCACAGGCGTATGCAAAAGGAGGAGGAGTACAAGAAAGAGAGGGCCAAGCAGGGCGGGGCCAACAGCCAGCAGGATAGCATCCACCCGAGTCGCTTGGCCATGATGTATCAGTAGATGGACGATGTGTGTATTGGGGGTTGGAAGGTGTAATTTGGTCGTGTTCGACTATTGGACAAAAATCTGGATCTGGATAAATACACCTCAGGATCACAGACTGGTCTTGGAGAACCAGGAGTTGTGGTATAGA